CACTTTAAAAGATGTGCTAGTTTAAAGATCTTTCTGCTTATGAGCAGTGGAAGTTATGATTTTGCTAGCAGTTCTTCATTATAAATGACACTTAATGAAGTTACTTTAAGGAAATATATGATTTCCCTGTCATCATATGCTTTAAGAGGCTGTAATGAGTCTTAATGGGACAGAGATGGTCTGGCAGAGAATCATCCCTTTTGCATTTTCCATTCAAATCTGTGTTAGTTCAACATCCCTCAAAATGTCTGTAGGTTGTTCACATGTGCAGGTGTTGGTTTCCTCATCTTGAGCATAAAATCTCAGCAGCTACTGCCCTGAAGAAGTGGCATGAGAAGAAAACAGAGTAGGAAGCAATTCTTGTAATTATAGAAAGTTTAACTTCAAGATCAGAAGTATAAGCACTGTGAAAAGCCTGGTTCCCATTTTTCATTGGTCAGTGAAGAGTACCTATCTCCAGATTTGTAACAAGTGGTGCATTTCACTCTCAATCAGTTCTTTATTTAGCAGCAACATAATATTGCAGTAATGGTAACTCTTTTCTAGGAAGAGAGGTCATTGGTTTACTGTTGTAAAAATGAGAGTGATACTGTGTTTTCAATGCAATATTGAGTATTGGTGTTTTATCAGTGTAGTAAATGTAGCATAAATGAGTGATTTTCTCATTTTTCAAATGATCAATTTTTCATTCACTTGCTGAAAGTAATTGATGGCGCATTCATTGACTGCTTTTCTTCTTCTGTACAGAGGAAGCCTTGGCAGGGGCTGTGCCCTCTGCAGAGCAAATAGAAGGTGCACCTTACCCTAAATCATTTATAATGAAAAAGGCAAATATTGGCCATTGGTCACAACACACGCGTGGCACTGAGTCACTGCAGGAGTCAGTGCTGGCTCAGCACACAGGAGTGACCTTGCTGAGTCTGGAGGGGAGGAAGCAGAGGCTGTGAAAAGAGGCAGTGGAGGGTGGCCTTGTTGTTGTCCAGACAGGAAGGTGAGAAGCAGAGAGCTCAAATAATCAAGGTCAAGCCAGAAGCTGTTGGTAGAGCTGAGAATAGAACAGGTGCTGCTTTGCTTCCAGTCTCTACTTGTTAAAAGACTGTCTGTCATGCTAGATCATTTACTTGCTAATTTGGGAAGTTTTTATGAGCTTTTTTTTGGAAAGTGAGGTTTATTTTCGTCTGTCTGTTGAGAGAAGGGTACAAAATGGCTGTTCTATAGCATACTCACAGACCCACCCCATGGGACACTGAAGAAGAGAGGTGGAGAGAGCACCGGGGCCTCTCTTATGCCTTCTGGACAGCTGGGGTGCTGTCTGCAGGTTTCCCTGTGCCTACATTTCTAAATCCCAGAGCCCTTACTATGCTGACAGTGGTTCTAAAGCTTTGTACATCAGTGTGTGCATCAGCATAGGCATCCTCTGGACTTTCAGCTGTTGTTGAAACAGGCTCTATTGCACAATGGCTTTTCTTCTGTCTGTTAATCAGCAAACAACCCAACTGGAAACCTGTTTCCCAATAATATTATAGTCTCTGAATTTCTGCTTGATGCAAAGTAGTAATGAAATGAGGAACTTTGCCACACTAATGGTTTAGGGATTGAATTGCCTGCCAAAGAGAACAAGGGATAAATAACCTGCTGCTAATGCTGCTGCCACTCTTCTGACGTTGTTGCTTAATCCTTTTGACGCACCAGGAAAAGGGGAGACTAACATGAAAAAGAAAATTGTATTGCTTAACTGAGATGCTGAGTGCTTCTGTGTGACCTTAGGCCAGGCTCTGGCTCTTACCCCACCTTCTCATAGTTGTTGTCCTCCTCTGTCCCTGGAACTGTATTTGACTTGTCTCTCCTGGAGACCGTCCAAAAAAATAAGTTGGTGCCAAAGATTTCTTGTACTTGCAAGAAGCCCATACTGTTTTTCTTTGTCTTTCCCTGCTCTTTTCCAGCATTATACACTCTTGTAGAACTGTGTTCTGCCTCCTTTTCTCCTTTGTTTTCTTCACTGAAGCAATCAGTGCTCTGCTCTTTTTTGTTGTAGCCTCAGCCACACTCACATGCCTGCTACTGGAAACTCCTAGGTGTGTTTTATATAAAACTTAATGAGTAAATGCTTCTGTCACAATCCTGTGAAAAATAGTCTTCACTGGCATAGATTAAACCCATGTGGCCTATTGATGATGTGAGCAACTGCTGAAATCCTTTGTCTTTCCTTCTGAAAGTATGCAGTTAGGATTTGTCTCCTTTTCAGTTATTTGAAAACAACAGCTTATGTTCATGGACTTGGACCTGTTCTGTTGTGTAATCCATTTGTGAAGGAAATCAATCCTGCCTCCCTTTTCAAGAGAATAACAGCTTGTCAAAAAGTAGTACATTTGGGGTGCTTTTGATATATCCTAAAATGTTATTCTTCGGAACTTTGCATAGTTGAAATTTATTCATTTCTTGGCATAAAACCAGATATCCTATGTGTAAAACATAAATATATTTACCATATGGAAATATATAACTAGTTTGGTTTCGTTTATACAATTTACAAGAACTTCAAAATTACTTACAGTTATTTTTTCATTCTTCTAATCTTTTTTCCAGTCAGTTTTGAAAGTTGAATTTTAGTGGTGCATGTTCATGGTGTTCAAACATATCTGCAATATCATTTAGTTTTAACCATTGTTTATGTAAATTACTGGCCTTTAAACTTTGGCTAATCCCTTTCAGATCAAGGAATCTATTGTTGGTGAAATAAGAAGAGAAATAGTAAGTGGATTGTTAGCAGCTGTATCACCCCAAAGCAGATCTGCAACTGGAAAACAGGATGCACAGCCATGAAACTGGTACTACAGGTAATCTTTGGAGATCTGCAAGAACCAGATTTTCTTTTTATTTTAATTGTGTTAAATGTCATTCTTTGCTTTGTTTGCATTTTATCCTTGAAGCATAAGTGATCAAATTTGAAGTTCATTAAATACAGAGAATACTGATAACCCTGGATAGATTTGGAAAGTCAGCTGGTTGGTAGTTTGGCCCATTCTACTGTCAGCTTTCATAGAGTGGTCCTTGATTTTTAGTTTCTGTGTGCTCTGTGATGACTTTTTATGTGAATACGTCATGCAAGAGGATTTCTGCAGTTCGCCTTCCTTAGATATGAATAGTATCAAAATACATACTTCAACATAAAAGAATTCCAAAAATCTAATTTAGGTCCTCATCTTCCTTTTTTTTCTCTAAGGTTTGGATGTCGTCAGAAGTGCTGTGGGATTCTGCTTTGGGCAGCACCCGCTGGTGAAAGTGCCAAGTTGGTTTTGCTTCAGGAAGTGTTAAAGCTGCTGAGATGGGCTACTGTGTTTGGCGCTTGGTTCTCTGATGTGGACCTTTCCTTGAGTTCATCTGTAAGGACTTAGACACTTTAACATTACTTTCCTTAAAGCATCCACAAAATTGTGTCACTCTGAAAGGTCTTGTATTTATTTGTATGTCCCTGTTGTAAATTTTTATGTAGCTAATTTCTTTGTCTAATGATGCATCATGAAACTTGAAGATTTCCAGACGTAACCAATTTATAAATAACACGTACACATTCAGCCTAGCTTTTTAAAAAAAAATAGAAAAAACCCCACAACAACCCCTCCCAAAACACTGACCTCTATGAGGTATTTATTGTGCAATAACTGATCCACTTTAAGAGCTTGAAATAACCAATAATGGTTTCCACTGCTGTTACTTAGTGCCGCTTCAAAAGAAGGAAACAATCCTGTTACACAAATTGCTGTTAATTCTTGAGGCGGTTACTATTAGCAGAGTGGTAGAATGACATGAGGTTACTCTTAAAACTACTTAAAGTTCTGACACTGAAAGCCTTATCTTTGTGTAGAAGACAACTTTTAACTAATTTTATTTGCTTTCTTGCTGTTTGCTCATCCCTTTATAGGAAAGTGCCTTATTTAAGCACTGGGGTGGTTTTTTTGGTGTTGACTACTTGCAGTCATACCAAGAGAAGTTCTGCTTCATATTAACCAAAATGCAATAAAAATGCTATGTTCTGAAAGCAATTAGGATTTGCAACTTGGAATGCGTGAATGACCTTGCTTATATTGTGGGGAAAATGGAAAAAAAAAATCTCTTTTCCTTCTCCATCTCTCACAGAGTGTATTTTCAGTCAGCCTGGTGAATATCCGATTGTTCCAATGGAGAAAATTGGAAGTCATTGGAGTTTTTATGTGGTCAAATAGACATTTAGTGGATATGTAATATCCCTTTTGGCTGTGCTTGAACTCTCTCTACTCCTTTGCCTTTTCCATCTACTAAAACTCCTCACACTATGTCAAGGTCTTTAATCAAAATAGTTTCAAATATTACAATATTATATGAAAAAGTTTATAAAATTTTAAATTGTGTTAGGAAGACACACAAGGGCTGATTTCTTTAAAAAGTGTATATTAAACCAATAAAATATTTATTTTGCCTATAATTTGTGTCAGTGTTTTGAATTGTGCATGGTTTACTCTTAAGCAAAATAAGATAGATTTGGTCAAAGAGTACACAGAATGGGGAACAGCAGGAAAGCTTGGGACTTGGCTTTCCAAAAAGCTTTCAGATATTCAGGGACTCTGAAATGTGAGAACAGTGTTGGTACTTAAAACCACTGTCTTAAAGTTGTTGGCTTCTGTTGCTGGTCCAAGAAGTTGATAGGTGACCTCTCATCAGCGTTTTTCCTTGTAAGTAGAAGCAGGGCTTTCTTGAAAACCTTATTCTGCACATTGAAAAGCTGAAATACAAACTCTGGCAGCACTGATTCGTGGCAATCCATACAAGGTGGTAGTTGCAGTAGATTTCTGCCTTGCTTTGCAGCTTGCATGAGCACACAGCTCCTTTCCAGAGCACCACAGGAGATCAGCCAGCCAGACCCACATGTCTGCCACCTTCCTTTGCAAATGCAGAAACCCAAAACCTACTCAACCTGCTCCCCTTGTCCCCCAGCCAGATCAATTAACACTCTTGACCACTTATGTAGGTCCTGTGCCTTTGAGCTGCTCAAAGCGACTTTCCAAGAAAGGTGACAGCTGCAGCTCTCAGGTGGTGATGGAGGAATGCACTTCAGGAGATGGTGGCAGTTGAGCAGGAGCTGCCAGCAGCATCTTCCATGGAGACAGCAGCCTGACTTCCTGCTACTCCCCCAAGAGAAGTCACTTGCTGGTATCATCCCAGAGTTTCTGAGGTACTTCATGTAGCTTGTAAGAACATTTGATCTCAGCAGTGCAAATCCTAGTGTTTAATATATCCTGAGAAATGAAAAGTACTGGCAAATTTTCATCCAACTGATGGAAGTCAGATTTCTGAGGTTTGGCTATAATTTCAAATAAAGACTTCAAAATGACGCTTCTAAAAACTGTACTAAAATGAATGGATATACAAGCACCTGTTTTTCCATAATCTGGGTAACAGATTTTTGCCATTTTAAAGACACTTCCAGCTAATATTTTCTGAGTGACACTTATATGTAGGAATGCCTATAAACTGTTTAAAAAAATTACTTTAGTGGGTCTGTCCTATAGGTTAAGTTGCACTGGTATCAACTTCTATTGGCAATTGTGTGTGCCTTAGGAAAGGCCATCATTATTGAACACGTGGCTATCCTGGGTGACTTAGCATAATGGTTTTCTGAGCATGGACAGTTTTTATTTTGTTTAATGATTCAGAATGCTACTTTCCTTGCAAATTAGTGTTGCCTTTTTTTCTGCCAGCCTGGAATTTGATATGGATTATATGCAGATTCAGACAGATTTATTAGTGGCTGATAAATATTGATCGACCAAATTTGCAGTGAATAAAGGCAGGCAGTATTGCCAGAGATATTTTGCATGCTTTTCTAAAGTTTGCTATGACAGTGACCTTTGTCATTGCCAGTTGGCTGTAGGAGTAACAGGAGCACCCACCTGATCATGTGGCTTAAAGCCTTGTGCCATTGGTGGCATTTTGGCTTTTTCAGTCATGGGTTGGTAGCACCAGGCTTGTTGGAGACAGACTGGGCTCACTGGCTAAAAGGAGTAAAGGATTCTAGCCCATGGGTTGGTAGTGGTGATTTGAGAGGGCTTTAAGCTGGCTTGGAAGGAGCAGGGAGATAAGACCAGACCAGGCTCAGTAGAGGTGGGCCTAGGGCAACATGGCAGTGCTGGGGCAGAATCGATATCTCAGCTGACGTGCTTCTACACCAGTGCACACAGTGCCAGTAACAAACAGGAGGAACTGGGAGCCGTTGTGCAGCATGGACATAGTGTCCCTCACAGAAATGTACTGGGATGACTTGTGTGGCTGGAGTGCCGCGATGGTGGGTGTAAGCCCTTTGGAAGGGATGAGTGAGGAGGCAGAGGCAGCAGGGTGGCTCTGTACATTAGGGAGTGCTTGTTCTGTGCAGAGCCAAGGATAGTGATCATAAAGTTGAGTGCCTGTGGGTGAGAATCGGGGGGGGGCAAGGCAAAATTCTTGGTGGGAGTTTGTTACAGACCATCCAACCAGGATGAGGCAGCAGATGAACTGTTTGCTAAGTGCCTGCCTGATATTTCACGATTGTTGGCTCGTGTTCTTGTAGGAGGCTTTATTTTGCCAGATATCTCCTGGTCTGAGTTTTCTAACTCAGACTCTGAAACTGTGGAAGTTCATTCCTTGGTTTATCTCCAGCAGAGGTTTAACTCCAGCAGAGGAGAGGGGGCAGTCCTGGAGTGTGCAGAAGAGAACTTCCTGACACAAGTGGTAAGTAAGGCTACAAGGTGTTTACAAACAAAGAAGGGCTGGTGGGAGATGCTGTGCTCAAGACAGCCTTCAACCACAGAACCACAAAATGATAGTTTCTGATTCTTGGTGAAGTAAGGAGAGGGATCAACAAAACCTCGACCTTGAACTTGTAGAGGACAGATTTTGGCCTGCTCAGGACACTGGTTCAGAGAGTGTCAGTGGGAATCAGTCCTTAATAACTAAGGGGTCCAGCAAGGCTGGATATACTTTAAGAAGGAAATCTCAAAGACACAGGAGCAGGCCATCCCCTGTGCTGAAAGAGCTGGTGGGGAAGAAGACTGGCCTGGCTGAATGGGGAGCTTCTACTGGAACTCGGGACAAAAGAGAGACTGAAATAAGGAGCAGGCAACTCAGTAGGAGCACAAGGGTGTCATTAGATGACGTAGAAAAAAATTATAAGGCAAAAGCTCAGCTAGTACTCAATCTGGCCACTGCTGTGAAAGATACTAAGAAGTGTTTTTGTAAGTACATTAACAACAAGAGGCAGAATGAGGAAAAGCTCCATCATTTATTGGACATGGGGGGTAAAACTGCCACCAAGGATGAAGAAAAGGCTGAGGTACTTAATGCCTCCTTTCCCTCAGTCTTTAACAGACAGACCACTTGTCCTCTAGGCAATCAGCCCCCTGAGCTGGTAGACAGGGACAGGGAGCAGAGCAAGCCCCATGCAATACAGGAGGAAGTATTTAGTGACCTGTTGTGCCATGTAAACCCTCACAAGTCTGTGGGGCCAGGTGGGATTCACTCGAGGGTACTGAGGGAGCTGGCAGAAGAGCTTGCCAAGCCGCTCTCCATCATTTGTCATCAGTTCTGGTTAACCAGAAAAGTCCCAGCTGGAGACTGCCCAATGTGACACCCTCCTGCAAGAAGTGTTGGAAGGAGAATCCAGGGAAGGAGAGGCCTGTCAGCCTGACCTCAGTGACAGAGAAGGTTATGGATCAGATTAACTTGAGTTCAGTCTAGGAAAGGTAGGTCTTGCTTAGGCATTGTGATATCTTCATACCAGATATCTCACCTAGCCTTGGCTCCTGGCTTGTCCCTACTCACAAAGCAGCCCCATTCCTGCTACTCCCAACATCTATATAGAAAATAGCAAATAATTGTGCCTCAGCTACCTTGCCCAGGTCACCAAAAGCAGATGCTATCCTCCAGGCATGCCTCCAGGTTTGTCTCAGTCCCTCCCTTGTGGATGCTGCAGGCAGGACCTTGAGGATTGTTGTGATATCTTTTGGTCTAGCATGTTCTCAGAGGGGGAGGAGGAGGAGGCAAGAAAGAAGGGACATCTGAAGAGTCTCAAATTCAAAAACGAGAATTTTAAGAACATGTTCTGAAATTGGCATACTGAGCTTTTGTCGGTACTTGGTGACATTTCATTTTCTGCCTGGGAATGTGTGTTTGCACAGGAGTTTTCTAACTCAGACTCTGAAACTGTGGAAGTTCATTCCTTGGTTTATCTTCTATGTATTCTTTATTTTAACTTTTGTTTAAAAAAATACAGTAACAACTGAATTTTATATTTCAATTGTTTAATTCAGTGATATAGTCAGTCAACTTTTGCATTAAAGATTTAATATGGAAATAATATTATTTTATTCTAAAACCTGTGTACACGACACATTCCTGTTTATTGAAAGATATATTAGATTTACCCTATTCTTTGTAAGGAAGCAAATTGTAGCATCTTTTCCTGCTGAAATACCCTCCTAAAACCAGTACCAGAGTTTTGCTTTCTGCACTATTAAACCATATTAGGCAAGAATCTTTTGACTGTCTACACAGGTCATGTCCCATTAATCCAACTCATTTCCTATGTTTTGGATGATTGTATTCTGTTGTTGATAGTGGATCTAGCAGTATGTGTTTGTACATTACCTCAAAGTGTGGAGAGCTGTGAATTTCAGAGGAAGACTGGAATAGACAGTGTAAGTTCTTCTGTGGTCAGATAAAGTAACTTTAAACTGATCCTGATTAAAACCATACTGCTGAGGAATTATTTATTATCTTAACTAAAGAGCTTGTATAAATAGAAATAGCTTTATCTTTTTACTTATCTAGGCTTTATGTATCCACATATATAGTTAGTACATAAACAAGTCCAAACCTGATATTCTATGGATAAGAACTGGCAATGGAAATTTGGGTTAGACTGTTGCCAGGCCAACAGCTCTCACTGAATGTCCCACTGACTCTGTCGCTGCTCAGAAAGACTTTCTGTTCTTCTTTTTGACCTGCCTGTGGCAACACTTGGTACTCATGAGGCAGATGAGATCTGCTCTGCATTCTACCACCCTGGCAAATTTTAAATTCTTTGCATTTTCTATATATAAATAGCAGACTGTGTTTCCAGCAGCTCAGTGGGAGTCACCCTGTTTGCAATGCCGTTTGGAAAGGAAAATTTCAGTGTCATTTTGAATAAGCAATTTTTTATTCTTGGAAGGCTTCTGTCTGATTTTAGCACCCATGAGTGAGGCACAGTGCAGAGCCCCAAAGGGCAAACTGATCCTCCTGTCTGGGCAAAGGCAGGGAAGAAGCTGTTCATCAGTTTTTTAGAAAAAGGCAGAAGGAAGGGGCATATTGAAGCCCTTTTGGCTGTATCAGAAAGCCAGAGTGCTCTGCAGTGTTTCTCCCTCTGATGCTGCTGGGCTGCCCAGCACTATGCTGAGGACATGTTGCTGTGAGGAGAGGGCAGCTGGAGAGCCCAGGGAAAGCACAGGTCAACCTATCTTTGTTAAACCACTCACATATCAGTGGCTACAGTGGGGATTAAAGCTGTGTCTAAGACACAGGAGAATTGCCACATCCAAGCTGAGCCCTTGCTCTGCAAAGCCCCCTGTTGGATCAGGGTGCTGTAACTTAGTGCTTCTCTGCATCTGCACTGGTGAATTTAGGAGCCAAAGCCTTAAGCAGGTTTGTTTTACAAGGAACACCAGCTCTGCTCTCCAGAGTGGTGCTGCAGTAGTCTTTGACCACACCAGAGGAGCTGAGGCAGATCAGAGCCGCAACAAAAATTGTGCAAAGAGAGTGCAGAACCAAGACCCTTGAACTGCCATCCCAGAAGCCTTGTCCTTGGCTGGAAACAAGATATAAACCTTTCCTAAGACACCAGGGAAATAGCTCAAGCAGGAGCTATGCCACGAGTGCTTCCACAGCTCGTCCCTGCAGCAGGATATTCTAAAAGGCAGTGCTTCATACCAGAACATAGTGAATGACATAGGAAGGAAAGATCTTGGACAGTTCTATTATTTTTAATTCCATTATAGTTTTAGCTGAATCATGAAGGCATCTGAAACTGAAATTGTGGGGAGTGCACTAAAAACAGAAGATGAACTACAGGGATGTGTCTTTAAACGTGTTTCAGCTCTCCCCAGACTATGATGCAGTCTATAGAAAATGCCAGCACACTTTGCCTGCAGACTTCTAATGCTGCAAATTGGTGTAAGAGAGAGCCAAGGCAGGCATCCTGAAATGCTGTATCTGAGTGCTCTCTCACTATGCCTCTTATACTATTTTAAAAATACTGTTATTGTATTAGTGCATGTGAAGATTGTAGGGCTGCCAGCTCCAAACAGGCACAGGGAGAAAAGCTGCAGGAAACAAATACTTCCACATCACATTGGGGGGGTCCTCTCTCCCAGTCTTAGCCAGCCCCATTAAGGATTAGACCTTGTGTTTTGGTCTGTCTTGTTGTCTGTCTCCCTTCAGAAGATGCCAAAAGTGGTTTTGTTGGTTTGGGATTTTTGTAAGGTTGTTGAGCTTTTTTCTTATATACCATTAATAAAAATGCATTTGCAACACAAATTCCTTTTGGCAGCAATGTCCAGCAATCTAGAGCTGAAACACACTGTTATAATCCTTTGTGCACTTAATACTTTAATAAATTTTTACTGTCAATATAGTTTTTAAAATTACTTTATCATTAACATAAGAAATGTTAAGCCTTTGCAGTGATAATTATAGCTCCCGTGATCAGTAAAATATATTAGAATTGCAATTGTATAATTTAATACATTAAGTTTCATAGACATCTAGAATAGATATTTTAATGGAAAACAGGTATTTTCTGGAGAAATTGATATTTAAAATATACAATTTATTAATATTTATGGTAGCAACACGTCTGGAAAACATTTTTCTCACAGTATCTCACAGCAAAAACAAACATTATTTTCCTTCAAGTATCAAAGTTCAAGAGGAAAGCCACAACTTCAGATCCCTGCCTATGTCCTCCCCCAGATGTAACCCTGTGTATGTGGTGTGTATATATACCCCTGATATGCCTGAAGCTGTCATTGGAGATAATGGCACATCTGTGCATGAAGGACTTGTGAAACTGGATAATGAGACTGTCCTGAAAACAACTCTCTAGTTGTCCTGGTGAAAGCAGAGTGTGCCTCTCTTACTTTAGTGCCTTAGGCTTCATTGTGCCACCATAACTTTTACAATTGCACTCTTGCTCTAACTGTGGAAGTCTATAAAACAAATTATGTTTTGTCTTTGTAGGAATAGTGAAGGCTTAAAAATGGTCATATGAAACACTGAATATCAGTGTTTTGTGCATCTCTTTCATTTGTTGTGGTAAGTGAAGCTAAGCATTAAGCACCAAATACATTCAGGATTCAGACTGAGAGGTCCCAGAATAACCTGGTCTCATACCCTGATTCAAGCAGGGGTGGTGGGATCAAGTATCTCCAGAAGGTCCTGACCAATCAGACTCTTCTGTGATTCAAAAGTCTAAGTTAATGCCACCTAAACTATCATAAGAAATTGAACAGGAATGTTGCCAGCTACTAGCTGTCAGCTGGGAACCACTATAGTTCTCAGTAGCTTTGATTTGGATGAGGAGGGGAACTTTGGCCCTCACTGAGAGTTATTTTTGACCATTGAGCCAACTGGATCCTTAACCTAAAGTGTATCCTCACCTCCTAAGCTTTCTCAGGTCCTTCCCAAACCAGCTAGCCTGTGTGCTTGCCTCTGTTCAGAAACAGCCCGGTTCTCCAATAATGTGCCTTGACTATAATTTGTAAAATCAAAGCCAAACAAGTATTTCATGTCTGCCTTGCTGGTTGGTTCTGTGTGTGTGGCCAGTGCATTGTTCCCACCCACAATCCCCGCTCCTTCCCTGCCTCCTCCACTGGCACAGGTGGGAAAGTACTCAGTGACTCAATAAGCCAATGGTGAACTGTGAAAATCTTCAGTGCTCTCAGTGGCCTGAACAAAGAACATTTTCAAATTCCTCTGAGTTTTGCAAAGAGGTAGGCTAGATCAGTGATTGCTGGATGTTTTTCACACTCTTCTTTTGAATTAATGTGAAATGACAAGTGAAAATCAATTATATTCACAACGGAGTAATATTGATATGATTGACCACATTATTTTCCTGGTCTTGGAATGAGGCATGGATTTTGTACCCTTGAGTAGGATTTAGCCTCTGAATTTTAGTCATCCAAAAGTGATTTAACTAGTCTGAATCACCTTTCCTTTTTCTAGAGTTAATGGAGAGAAAATGTAATCTTGAGTAAATGCTACATCCCACTTTGCCTGGATAGAATGTGATGCCTGTTGATGTGCTTAGCATGAGGGAGCCCAGAGAGCTGGCTCAAATGTGAGTGTTCTCAAATCTGGAGCCATGTGAAACAGAGCCCACCAAAAGAAATCACAGTCTAAATATGAAAACCAGGGCTAAGCTGCAAACCCACCAAGAAGTGTCATGTAATTGTGGGCAACTCTGTAGCATCATCACCAAAAATCTTCCTGTAAGATTTAGTAAAGTCTAAAACTGTAGGATTAAAAAAAAATATTTGAAAGAGCAAAGGGAATTGATATGTGAAAAGAGGAGAGTGGTTCTGGCACACTGCAACAGAGATCGAATTTTTGAATCCACCCCTTCTGCTACCTCCACCCCCAAAATCTGAAAACTTCCTGATTTGTGTTCATCAATAATTAAGAGCCCATCAGCAATACTCAGAGGGAGCTTGCATTGCACTTCTGAGCAGCCAGTTAGTAATATACGGTGGAGAGATCCTCTTTTTCAAATCCCAAGGCTCCAGGCCATGCAATGCTAGTATTGCATTTTCAATTAGCTTCTGAGTGAATGCTTGGCATATGTGGAAGTGAGCTGGTACACAATTAGCTTATTGTTCCTTTCAGCTTTCTGCTGAGAGGATCTGAAGGGCTGCTGAAGAGAGGGGAGAGGGGAAAAAAAAAAAAAGAAAACAGCCAAGCCAGTGGCATCTCTGTGGATGTGGAACAAGGGAGTCGCTCGGCTGGCGCAGATTCCCGGGCTAAGTCGGGAGTTACAGCTGTTCCTGCGGAGCTCCAGCCGGGCCGCGGGGACAGCGCCGGGGCACAGGCACAGACCGGGCTCGAGCTCTTCCCTCGTCCGGCTCACCTCAGCATCACCATGGAGCCCAACAGCCCCAAAAAAATACAGTTTGCTGTGCCCCTGTTTCAGAGCCAAATAGATCCTGAGGCAGCTGAGCAGGTAAGGAGGATGAGTTTCCTTCACTGTTTCGAGGGAATGGGGTGGGAATGGGGCAGGGTGTGGGTGAGCACGAGGGATACTTGTGGCCTAAAGGCTTTTCTAGCTTATGTTAGTGAAACTGTAGATTAAATACTCTGGAGGTTATAGTGATGTTTGATATACTTAAAGAGGGGGAAGGATATGTTCTCTAGGCAGAATAAGGCTTCTTCACCTCGGGTAGGTTTATTAATGTATATTTTTTGTGCCTTTTCTGTGTGCCTCTTCTACCCTAATACATTTCACATAAATGCACTCAATGAATACATTCTCAACAAATCAATTCAAGTGTATTAAATGTGCATAAAGAAAAGCATAAAGTTCATAATAGGTAAATAAGAGAAATATTGGGAAGAAGACATCTTATTTACCTTTCATTTTAACATGAGAAAATACAACTAATGTTTTGCACAATATTCATAATTTCATTTACTTCCTGTATTTCTCATGATTTTTTACAGTCTTTAAGTTATTTTTATGGTATTTTACATGCCTGAAAAATATATACGTGTGGAAATATGCTGTACTTATGTCCTTCTTGGAATAATGTGTATGCTATTTTAGGTTTTAACTCACTCCCAAAAGATACACATAATAATATATACATATACACTGTACTGATATATATGTATATATATATATATCTCAGTACTGACATCTAAGGAGGAGAATATATCTGTTACTATGTACCTTTTATTAGGCACATCTAATAAAATGTGCCTAATAAAAGGCCACAGGCAGTCTTGTGAGAAAACTGTGTAAATCTTAATTAGGTGACCCAGTATATTTCTCTCTGTGCAAGTTGTCCCCAACATTTGCTTCTATTTGGGTACGTCTGATTTTAGATGATACCAGGGGAATATAATAACCTCGAAAGTTCCATACAAGTAGCCATGAAATTCTTTGCACCTTTAAGACAGTCATCTGGTTTCCTGAATATCCTGATGTTTTCTCTTAAAAGGCAAAGACCTTTTCCAGGAAACGATGAGTCGGCAGTGACCACTGAATGTGAAACATTAGAAGGGTGCAGAAAAGAATTGTTGTGGGTCCTCATTTTGTCCATAGGCACTCCTGAACTGTGAGATGTCCATCCCTTACAGAACAGTTCTGCAATGAATTCAAGCAGAATGTTTTCTGGCATCTTTCTGAAATCTGTGAGAACCATAGGATTAGGATTTCCTGGAATTCCCACGGCTGTTGAAATGCTGTAGCCTATTTTCTTCATGGTATTTATGGGCAGTCCTTTTTTTTTTTTTTTTCCTGTTGTTGTTGGTAGTTTGATTCCAAGCGCTATACAGTTTCACTGTGGGTGTGTGATGAAATTAAAATAGCAAATTCCACAGTCAGCTACAGTTACACTAATCTAGAATAAACCCATTAACCCTGATGATGTAACTTTCCATTTACACCTCTGAAAGCAAAATTTGAACCTAGCTAAATACAGATGTTGGCTCAGCAAATAAAAAAGAACAAATGCACTGACATTGAGGTTTTGTGTCAGAATGGTTTCTAGCTTAAATGCTCCTGGTCCCAGTCTTAAATTCAATAGAATATCAGGCCTGGAGGCTTTTGTGAAGCAACACAAAGCTTTCAATGCAAATGTGTGCATTATAAGAGGGTATTCCAATGCCATGTAGTTCAGCCACTGTTAATGGAACAAAGGTAGTTACCGAGATGAACTCTGAAGAATTTGGAGTTTACATACAATTCAGGACTATGTATTGGTATGTAAAATCTGCTATATTGGAAATACTCTTTTTAAGGTCTTAAATACTGGAGTATTTTTGGCTAAAGAACTGTTACTGTAGTAACATCTCTGGCAACAGTTTCGAAGCATGAGTTCATTGGAAGGCATACCTGCAAAACTCTGAAATGCACTTGCAAAATATTATTAATTATTACTTGAGAGAGCTATGGCAGTACTAGGTATTTGCACATACAAGCTCAGAAAGTATGAAATTATCTTCCTGATGCAAAGCTAAATGTCAATATTTGAAGATATGACTGATATTTTTCGGCAATACATATCCAAAAAACGAAGTCAAGATGATTACAAATCCTAAAGGTATTTTGGACAGCTCTTCCCATGCCTTTGTTCTCCCTAAACAAGCAGCAGCAGGACCCTGTTTGCTGTCATACCAGACAAGCTGTCAGTAAGACAGTGAAGTGCTGCTGTTCTTTAAATAGTTTCCTTTTTCACTTTTACTCTGGAGGACACCAGACAGATTTTTTGCTTTGCTTTGCTTTGTGTGTGTGGCAATTGATGGGCCCTAATGACTCTCCTTGGTTGATATCTGTTACAGATCAGGAAAAGAAGGCCTACGCCAGCATCACTCGTCATCATGAACGAGCACATGCCCCCAGGTGAGTGCTAACATACCTTCTAAACCACTGAACTTGTATACACAGGACTGGCTGCAGACTGGTTTGATTAACTGCATGAGTTTAAAAACCCAGCATTGATTTTTTGGCTCTAAATATCAAACAACGGATCTTAGAATGTTTTGGAGTAAACCCCACGATCACAGGTAACTCCTGGCCTTCAGATAATGTCACTGATTTTGCAGTTTTATCCTCCATGTCAATCTTGGTTATATGTAGAAGGAGAATTAATATGACCCAGATCCAGTTCTTCCATCCACAAATATTTTCTTTCCCTGGGTGGAGACCTTGGAGATCCATGAAGTCTGATCTCTAGAGACACCAGGCTGGGTCCAGCATTAATTCAACCCAAGGAGTTGTTTCTGAAAAACAGGCCCTCTTCTAGTTTCCTGATAATATATATAAAGTGTTATTTCATTATTCTTTTTCAACTGTGAATACATAATCTTCATCCAGGAGTTCCCACAGAAGATTCCCTGCGGGATGGGATGATTTGAGGTTGAGACATACTTTGTCATATAAATATGACTTTAGAAAGACTACTTAGTAACCTGTTTAGGGAGTGTTATAAACAAAAAACTCCTCAAAAAGGGGAAAATCTTCAATAGTTAATCCCTTGGAACACAGTGCCTACTTTATATCAAACTTTTCCTTTGTTGTGCTCTGCAATATTTTTTTCCCTGCCATACCTCTTACTCGCCTGAATCTTTTTTTTAAATCTTTTTGGAGAGTAACATTCTGTCCTGAATTTCAGGTAGTTCAGCTCTCTAAAATGGTGCATGAATGATCTGCTTTGAACTGACTTTCTTTACCTATATAGGATAATAATGGGATCTACCCTGTCTGTGTTGTTAGGACTTATTTTAAAGCAAATTCACCTTGACTGTTAATCTCTTCTGCAATTCATTTTGTACACTTTGTACCGTCATATTTCCTTTTATAAACAGATACTTGGTACAATACCAAATCAAAACCAAACAAAGAATAAGGACTCTTTAATTTACAGGAAATTTTACTGTAAACAAAGTGGTACATGTCTGTTATCACCTTTCCTGCAATGTTCATAATAAGTCTTTAAATAAATCATTTTTATTATGAGTCAGGATTGCTGCAGGTTTCAGCCAACTTCCATATAAGCCCATGAATTAGTATTTGTCTTCACTTATTTAGACTTGTTTATTTAGATATTTTTCTTTCTAGATACTGGGAACTAATATTAATGAAATTATTATTTGGCTAAATTATAACCTCATCCTGATTTAAAATTTTCCATTAAGCAAGATAAAAATTAAAACTTTTAAAAGCAGCTTCATTTTCCTGCCCTTGACCATGAGGTTCATGCAGGTTTCCATAGGGGGTCACTTGCTTCAAATGAGCAAGTGTGCAGGTAGCTCTGCAAGCCTGCTGAGTAAAAGGACAGTAAATCCAGGTTGGAAAGGCAGACAACAGGTTTACAATGGATGTGCAAATACTAAATAAAGCCTTTGTGGTCTTCATCTTGCAAGGTGCTGTACAGCTCCTGAAATGGTTGTGTGCCTTCAACTTTCAGAGTCAGCTGGTCCTAGGGCCTCTCTGACACCTTGCTGATTAAACCCCAAAATGCTGATCAGTTACTGGATTTTGAATAGAATTCAGGGGGATGCTGAATAAAATTTGTCTCCTATAATTGTAAATTCATCACTGCAAATGGATGTAGTTAATTAAAAAAAAAAAAAGTAGGGGTGCTAACTTGACAATCCAACAAATTGCTTTAGGAGTGTGATTCCCTGGAACAATGGGAAAACTGAGCAGTAGAGAATTCCAGTGATACTGACAGAGCCACACCTTTTTATTAGAGCTGGGCTAAATGAGAGTTCTGTCCCCTGAATTTTACCCACTGGAGTATTATACTTCCTTCATTAGGAGCAAGGAGCTAGTGAAGGATATGCTTCCAGGAGTTGGAAATATGTGTCCTAATGCAATCCTAAATGTTTGGATGCCCCTACAAAGTCTACTCAAGTTATCTGAACTTCTCTTTTTTTGAAAAACAGAAACAGGCATACTCTAAGAATCAGGCTTTTCTATAGCCTTTTGTTACAGCTGCTTCTGATTGCAGCTGGTAAAAAAAAAAAAAAAAAAAGTAGCATATCTGTGGTATTCTGGTGTTCTGGATGCACACCCATCTGGAAACCAGAAGGCAATAAAATGTGTTTGGACATTTAAGAACTTCATAATAAATTCAGCTTGAGTTCTTCTGTAAAAGATCTAAAAGTTGTTTTCTATTAAGTCTTCTCATCCATCCCTGGTGCCTGCTGCAGCTTTGGTAGGGGTATGTCTTCACCTGTTTAGGTCAGGTCAATCAAGCTATAAGTGAAGATGGAATATCTACTAAGCCTAATTCATTTTAAACCAATGACAACTGCTCAAAAACTATAAGAAGAGTCTGCTTGACTTCCTTGCTTTCAAGGAGACGGTGTTAGACCACACTGAATTGTTTAAAGTCAGGTGATAAATGTGACTACAGAAGCTCATATCCAGCCTGTAGCATCATTGACTCTCACATTTCCTCATGCTCACTCTGGTTGGCATCATATAGAAGTGCAATCACAGCCAACGAAAGAGAAATTTGAGTTGCAGCAGCAACAGTGATTGCAGTGGACAAGATGACCTTATGAAGAAACACAGCAATGAAGAAACCATTAACACTGCCTGTAAGTTCTGTGTAAAGCGCTCTTAGATGAGTTGTGTCACATTTGAGCAGAGAAACTAGCACTAGCAAACTGAGACTTGAGTTATGAAGTTGCTGTAATCTATTGTGCTTCAGTTGCCATCAATGGAGCATCTGATGTTTGATTTTGTAATAGCAAATCAGTTCCCTTTTATTTGAAATTATAAGACCTTTTTACTATCTGTGAAGCCAAAGTCAAGTATAAAGTGAGAGAGCTACACAAATGGGCAGCATCTCATCCTGTGAGGATGGTGCATGGGTTACAGGGGTAACCCACTCACATCCTGCTCTAGCTGCAGCTGCTCTACACCTGTGTTTTATAAAAGGAATGTAAGCACACGCTTAGTTTTAAAGACATATTTAACTATTACACTTTACTAGTGTTTAATCAAAAAATTGTAATATCCTTGGAGTCAACAGAAACATATCCCCACCACAAACAGCCTTTTCTGTGTATGCACAACCTCCTGTCTCCATGCCCAGCATGGCAAAAAATATGGGAATATCAATTCTTATTAGCTGAAATAAAAGTCTGAGCATGCTTTAAAACAGCAGAATATCATAATGCAACAGCTCAAGAAGAAGCTGGTAGCAGAGTAGAGAACTGATGGCTGAGGGAAGAAAGCACGTCAGGCCACAACTCAGGTTTAATACCATTAGAGCTCACTTTGATCAGAAAACAATGCCAGCATTCCTGTACAGACTGGCTTTGTCACAGAGCCAACACAACATCAAACAGTCTGGCTGGCAAAGGCTCTTCAACTTATGTCAAAATGTTCAGTCTTCTTGAAGCATTGGAATATGGGTAAACATTAGGATAAACTTCTGTGTATCTAAATTTTCTACATATTTTCTGTTTCCAACTCCCCTTTCTGCTTTGTTGTCTGTTTTGACATCCTTGCTTGTAATGTAAATGTTACTCTGTGTTTAGAAATACAGCTGCCTTTTTGGGCTTTGCAAACCTCATTTCAAAGCAGCAAGGATATATTATGACTGCATAAGCAATATAAAACATACCTTCCCAGTATAACACATCTGAGCTTACTGAATGCTGGAAATCATAACTTGAAGAAAAGCAATCTGTACCTGCCTCCAAACAAGCTTGCAGCTTGTGTTTGGGCATTAGCAGTTTTGCTTTCTCATTCCTAGCTGATTTTTGGTTACCCAGAAAGGTTCCATGCCTTTCAGCTTACTGTCACTTTCCCCAGAGCTCTGCTGAGATGCCTCATGGATAGTCTCAGTATTTAGTGCAGCAGCAAACAACACAGCCAGGTGAGTGGTGGAAGGAAAATCTGTCCTTACACCTTTGTCAATTCCATGACAACCCGAAGTAGTTGAGGTTTTAATGCTAAATTGGTTTTAGACACTCCTGGACTTTCCCTGCACAATAAATCTCATTACCACAGACAGATGTGCTTTTCTGCTGATGCAAACTGTACCAGCACCACATTCTTGATGGGATTAATGTGAGTCACTTTGCCCAGCATTAAGGTTTGTGACTAATATTAGCTGGATCATGCTTCTAGGTGAATGAATGTATTTGGATTTAGATCTAATGATCACTTTATTTTTTTTTTTCTTCCAAGGCAAAATAAACTGAGCTCAAGAAAAGACCTACTTAGTAGGAGGCAGGTGTTTCTGAGCATTGTCCAGCAGTTCTGCTATACTTTCTCAGGGAAAAATCTCAGCAGAAAACTCTTGGTCTCAGAGTTCATGGAAACTGATATGTTTTTCAGACTATTGAGATTCTGGTAGGACATACTGCTTACTTTGGTCCAAGAACTGGAGAGTGAGTAAGCCAAACAGCAGATGTTTTCAATTGCAAATTTAGGCTTCTAATGTGGTAATAGAGCAGTCAGAAAAGCAGTACATGAATAAAAACTGTCATTAGCTGTATTTTTTTTTTTTTTTGTCAAACTAGTTGGTCTTTCTATATGCTAAATGTATGTGCCGTTTAAGTATTCTGTCTCTTTTTTATATCAGTCCAGGAGTCTGTGGAGGTATTTCAGTAAGCAATGAAAAACATTTGTGTCCCCTCACAGCAGAGGGCTGGCATAGCCCAGGGTACATTACTGATGGCACCAGGATGTTCAGAGATTAGGCACGACTTGTCAAGGCAGTGAGGGCCTTCGTGTGCTTTCAGCCTGTGCTGGAAAGGACTATCTGACACAGCCAAACAATGAAATATGTAAAGTAAACATTGTGTAAGGCCTGACTGGTGATAGGGGTTCCAGAACAGAGATAAAAATGTCTGTGCTTGAAATTATCCTGCTGT